TTTAATTTTCTGAAGTCTTCTGTATGTAGGAAAAGTAAGTGTGGTCTTTCCAATGTGTGCTCCATTAGCAGAGGGACTTGTACAGAGTTAAGTGAAGCTAGCTCTATATCCGTGTCATGAAATGCTTCAAAGAGAAAACCCATTTAAATTAAAAACCCAGTTAAGTTAATTTCAGCATAATTCAGGTTTTTCATCCATATCAATGGAATCAATGTAAAGGTTTATTCTTTCAAAGGTTAAACATCTGACATTGTTGTAAATTTTTCTGTAAATTCAACTAAAAATTTAAGGCTGAAAACAAAATTGTGTGCTTGTATATTTGTGTTGATTATACTAATTTATGCTTTGGTGACACAGAGTCTCAGAAAATGATATTCTTACTAAAGTAAGCAATCTATGGAGCAGATTTATACTCATAATTGGTTGTGGTGCACATATATTTCATACTTGTGTTCAGATAAGCTTATGATATTTTATTAATCAAAGAGAAGTTTTACTTCCCAATATTTACAAATGTATACCAGAGCTAGAATTACTGAACTCCAAAATTATTGCCTAACTAGACACCTGACGCAGGAAGATTCATGCAGATTGGGCCTTCCTTATCCTGGCTGCTGGCACAGCCTTTGCTCCAGCCTGGAGCCGCTTTTCTGCCTTCCCACATTGCCAAGAGGCCCAGAGCAGCTGGTGGAGTGTGAAATGCCTGCATCGTCACCATGGCAATGATGCAAGCATCCCCCCAGGTGCTGGGCATCTGTGTATGCAGATTAACCTGACACCTTTGTTGAGTTAATTTGCATACTCACGCCTGATTGGCTGGTGGATATCACAAAGGTACAGTCAATTTGCATCTTTCCCTTTCATTATTGTAGATTAACTTACACCTTCTCTCTTCCTTTTTTAGGCATCCATTTTTTCCCGGGTATATGTCCTGATATACCTGTATTTTAATTTCTTTTTAAATTGTGGTGAAATACAAATAACATTTTTTTTTTGCCAGTATTACAGATGTTCCTGTTTTTACCCTTTTTTCTCTCCTCCACCTCATGCCTTCCCCACAGTATTGTCTGTGTCCATGGGTTATGCCTATTGCATAGAAGTTCTTTAGTTAATCCCTTTCCCCTGACCCCATCCTCTCCACTGGCATCCCCTCTGAGATCTGTAATTTCCTTTTTCAACTTTATTCCAGAAGGTCTGGCTAATGCAAAAACCTAAGGAAAATAGAAATAAGTACTGTGACATAAACATCACAATCATCCTCTTAGGAGAGAAACATGTATATACATGCATCTGTGCACAAAAAGTAGGGGGTGGGGTAGGGGGGGATGGGTGCTGTAATACTAGTCCATAGTCAGCTGAAGTTTTTCAAACATGTAAAAAAGCAGCACTAGGAAATCATCCAAGGCCAAGTCATATCTACTATCAAAAGCCAATTTGTGCTCAGGAAAGAAAAAGGTGCTTTTGCTTTGCTGCCCAGGATTTTTGGGGGATGGTGTTACTGGTGTAATCTTTCAGTTTTCCTATGTTTGTTAATCTAATGTGTAGCTCCTTACTTGAGCTATTTGGGTTCTCTTGGTGTAGGCCTGCGAGCTTGAGAGGCACAACTCTGGTGTCTAGGAGTCGGCCACTGTTTGGGGGAAGGGTCCCAATTTTTGCTTTCCTGTATCCTTAATTTCCTGCATCCCACTTGCCCTGCAGGGACCCACAGTGGGCCCCAGGAACTGTCTATTTGGGGTGTTGTGGCTCAGGTGACCTGCTCAGGCGTGACTATGTTGCCCAGGGTTCTGCAGTTGTGGGGTGGGCAGACTCAGCTATGCTGTTGTACCTGGTGGATAGGTGCTTATTCCCAGCGGCAGTTGGCAGTTCACGGGAGCACCTTCCATGCGTTTGTCAGTGAGGCACACTGAAGGACTCTGAAGGGCTCTGGCAGTGTAGCCGTGCAACTGAGGTGCCTGTGGTCAGTATCCAGACTAAGTGAATACAAAGCCTCTATTGCTGGAGAGGAGTGTGTTCCCTGCTTGTTCAAGATCACCCCAAAGAGGAGCTCACAGTGGCTGTGGTTAGTTGTGCTCGGTGTGCCAGGCTGTCAGGATGTAGTGCTCTCAGAGTGCAGAACTTTGATATACTCCAAGGGGTCTTGGTACCGCCGCTGAGCAGCTAGGGTGAATGTGGCAACCCTCCAGGAAGAGGGAATTCAGAATTTCCACTGTGGGGCCGCGCGACTCAGTCTGCACAGAAACACGCCTTCGGATGCTTTTAGCGACTCCCTACTGCCACCCAAGGAGAGGCCCACAAGCGGGAGTAAAGTTTTCAGGCTTGCCTATGGGACAGGGAACCAGTATGCCCCTGTCTGCACCGATACACACCCTCGGGTGTTTTCGGCTCCTCCCCACTACCGCCCAAGGAGACTCCCGCTAGCAGGAGTAAGGTGTTCAGGGTGTCTATGCGATGATGAATGCTCGCGCCCCAGCCCGCACAGAAACACACCCTCTGGTGCTTTCTCCCTCTCCCAAGCGCAGTCCAAGGAGATACCCACTAGCAGGAGTAGATTGTTCAGGCCTGCCTATGGAAGGGGGAACGCGCGCCCCTGTCTGCCCAGAAACACACCCTTGGGTGTTTTTGGCTTCTCCCCCGAGCCACCCAAAGAGACCAAGTAAAGAGTTCTGGGTTTGCACGCTAGCGCGCAGACTTGGAGATGCCTGGCGAGCCCAGTAAAGTGTTTCAGGTTCGCGTGTAAAGGTGCACTACCTGGAGAGGGCGGCCCGGTTAGCCAGGTGAAGAGTTACAGGCTCACATGCAAACGCTCACTGCCTGGAGATGGCTCAGCTAGCCAAGTAAAGAGTTCTGGGCTCACGTGCAAACATGCGCTGCCTGGAGACAGTTCAGCTACCCAAATAAAGAGTTCCGGGGTCACGCGCAGGTGTGCCCTGCCTGGAATTGTCTGGCTAGTGAAGAGTTCTGGGCTTCCGCAAATCCACAGTTCAGCTGTTGGGAAGGGGGAGTTTTATTTACAGCTGCGGAATGGTGTGTCTTTGGAGGTCAAGATCCCAGTGTCCGCGGGTCTGCAGCTGGGGTCACAGGATATTGGCTAGAGTGTGTGCTGAGTTGCGGGGCAGTTCCAAGGCCTATCTTGTTGGTGATGTTGGTGAGTTTCTAAAAAAGGCCATTCAAGATGGCATGGGCTCCTTGCTGGAGTCCCGCCTTCCTGCATAATGATAGTCTCTCCTTATCCAGGGGAGGCTGTCTATAGCTCCTGCTGCTCCTGCGTGATTTAACTTTCCCTCACTCACTGATACACAACCCATGCATTTCCACATACATTCCTTTCATACCCTTACTAACTTCCTCTCTCTCAGCCTCGTCCTGCTAGTTGCCATCTTTTTCCCCCTCCCAGGCCTCAAACTTTCTTTCTCTCTTTATGAGTGACCATAAGTGCTTATCATATGGTCACTGACACTCATGCACCTAGTACCCAACAGGATAAGGAGATAGACATTTCAGATTGTTTATGACAACCACAGTCATTATAGCATGTCATATCCGGAGTGTTTTCCGTGCCAGGCATTTTTTAAAGCACTTTACCTTATTTATCTCATTGCATGCTCAGTAACAATCCTTTGATGGAAGTCTTCTTCTTCTTCCCATTGTACAGAAAAATCAGAGCCCAGAGTGGTTAATAACGTGCTCACGATCACCTAATTAGGAAGTGGCAGAGTGGGGACTTCCTCACACAGTATGCCTCCCAGCCCATGTTTGGAACCATCCTAAGTGACTAACTCTAGAGCTGGCAGATATCACGAGTTTCTTAAGATTACCAGGCTCCTTGGTTGGCTGCAATGATTGAACAAGAATAGGTGCAAATCTTTGTTGTTCTCAGCCAAGTTCTTGTGAAGGTTGAGAACAGTGTGATTTGGCAAGTCCAAGGTCCTTATAATGATCTGGACCCAGCCTATGGACCTCCAGGTCTATAACCTTCCTTTGACCTGCTGTTTTAAAGCAATACATGCACTCTTTACTTAATGAGATCTTGGATGGTTGGGTTTTTGAGTTGGATGACTGTGCGTCTCTGCCTGGGGCAGTCCTGCTTTATACCTGTTATCCGGGCAGAATAATTTGTGGTTTTCCCTTTCATTCTCAGAAGAGTCCTGCTTTGAGCAATAAAATGATCATTTTACTTAGATACAGACTTTCCTGAAATACTATCCAGTTCTTCCCCTAATTCTCATTTTTCCCATGTCATAACAACAGTTCTTTATTTTTGTAAATCCAATTTATATTAATAAAAATATAATTTTAATTATATATATTTATTTATCATATTAGTTAAGGTCAATGAAGCCATCTACTGAAACAGACAGACAAACACTGAAAATTTCAGGAAGAGTTTATTTTTCACCCATATTACATTGCATCCCATGTGGTACCCCCCAGCTGTTCAGGGACCCAAGAACTTTTCATCTGTGGCCCCACTTTCTCTATGTCTTCAGTGTCTTTTCCCTCACCTACCTCACCTACCTCCTACCCCTCTAGAAATCACCATGCTGTGGTCTTTGTCTATAAGTTTTGTTGTTGTTTTTGCTTAACCTCTTCACCTTTTTCACCCAATACTAACCCTCCACCCTTTCGTATGGTTTTGATTTGCATTTTCCTAATAACTAGTGAATTTGAGAATTTTTTTATACATTTGTTGGCCATTTTTATGTCTTCTTGGAAGAAGTGCTTATTCAGGTCCTCTGCTCATTTTCTAAAATTTATTGTTCTAAGTATTTTTAATTATATTTTTTTGGTTCTTGAGTTGTATGAGGTCTTTATATATAATAGTTTGGATATAAGCCACTTGTCAGAGGTATTGTTGGAAAATATCTTCTCCCATTAGGTTGATTGTTTTTGTTTTGTTGATTGTTTCTTTCATTGTGCAGAAGCCTTTTAGTTTGGTGTAGTCCCATTCATTTACTTTTACTTCCTTTTCATTTGGGGACTGATCCATTTTATTACTCACTCTAAATGGTAAAAAAAGTTTCACTATGTTTGGGCACAAACTTTTTCTCCAAGGAAATATTAAATATCTTTTTCAGCTCTTCCTGTACTTCTTCCATATTCAGTGTCTTAAACTCCACCAGATCCATGTTGTCCTTGTAACTGAATCTTCGATGCATGAGAGTAAAACCCACTAAGCAGTAAACTCCATCTTGGGTATGAATGATACAGTAAGTGTCTTTTACAAACACAGATGCTGGAGATGTCTGAAAGTATGAATTCGGATGCTCAAAATATTCCATTGTTCGAGGTTCAAGGGTAAAGGAGTAGATCTTTCTGTACTTTTTCTTTTCCAGGAGCTCAGAATTAAGGAATTCTTGGTTTGGAATGTACTGCTCTCTTCTGATTTGGTCCAGGTGCCAGGTTCCTCCCTCTTCTGTCAAGCGGAAGATGCAAGGCAACTGAGGCTGATCCTTCCCAGATATTAACTCGAGAGGCTGCCTCATCTGGAAAGAGCTCGCATACCCAGTATCAACTATGTATTTCCTGCCACCCACAGTCACCATCAGCAGGAGGTGCATGGGAGCCCTGCCGTATCTTTCAGCTACAACGTGGTAAACATAGCTTTCCAGCATTGTGGTCTCAAAACCCATTGTGGTGAGAGCCCAGTGCAGAAGTTGGTTGATCTGGAGACACCACCCACCACGTTTCTTCCTCACAATTTGATCAAAAACGGCCTCCAAGCCCAATTCCATGGGTTCCCCACAATGGATGTTAAGGTTCTCAAAGGGAATGGTCTGGATCTGGTGCTGAAAAATGTCAGTTAATGTTTCCAGGTCCAATTTGTTCCTAGAGTTCTTATAACCAATTCTTTCAAAATATGCTTCGATGTCCATGATCCCCTGTGGCAAGGTAAAGAAAACAAGAACACATACTGTTATATTTGCAGTTGGATTTCCTTAAGAAGGTTAATTATAGTCATGTATTTTAAATATATACTGAAAAATACTAAAGTTAAAATGGTTATAAACATCTGTAATTATACTTCTTTTAAAGCTTTTAATATTTATTTTTAAATAATTTTTTTTTCATTATTGTGTTATTTTTGACATATAACATATGTAAGTTTAAGGTGTATAATGTGATTATTAAATTCATTTATATTGCAAAGTGATTACCATAATAATACCATCTTGTAACCTTTTTTTTTTTTTTTCTGGTGTTGGTGATTACATTTAAGATATGCTCTCTTACCAACTTCCTTTTTATTTCTTTTTGTATATAATACTAAGGCCTGGTGCATAAAAATTTATTGCTCTGGAGGTGGGGGGGGGGGTCCCTCATCCCTGCCTGCCCCCCTCTCACAGTCCAGAAGCACTCAGGGGATGTCCTACGGGGATCAGGACTAAGCCACAGTCTGGCCTCCCTCTGCAGGAAACAACTGGAAAATCAGGGGAAGGTAAGGTCTTCATCACACCGCTGCTTCTGCCACTGAGGCTCAGGCAGCCGTGGTGGCCGACAGGGTAAACATACTTAGGGAGCCCACTGAGATGCCTCAGAAAAGCACTTATTATATGTGTAAGGAAGTTAGATGTAGAATAATTTTTTTTTGTTTTAATTCAGAAGTATTAGAATGTTTCTTCTTCCTTGTCCAAACTCTAGAAATAATAGGGAAAAAAAGGGTATTGGCAGAAAAGCACTCTTTAGAAGGGAGAGACTATCAGGCTGGCATCAGAATATTTCTCAGTAATATGTTACCAAATTAAGAGGAAAGTCTGATCCCCAAATATTATTCTCAGCTACTATTTCATTTCATCAGAAAGGTATCATGAATATGAAGACAATCTCAAAGATGAAGGAACTTGAGGAATGAATGTATGAGGAACTACCCCAATAAAGTGTTACCTCCTAATTGGCCAATGAAGTGGAAATCAAAATGAAAAAAAAGTAAGAGTGAGGCCACAGCAAAGGACTAATGGGCAATATTGGCTCCTTTTATTACAAAACTAAGAATAGAAAAGTTATGAGAATTATGGGTATTGAGGAGACAAAATGGCGGAAGAATAGATGGACAGGTTCTGAGTCTTGTCCTAAAGCAGAAAGAGAGAGCAGCTGAGGGTCGCACTAAGAGTGTTTGTTAGCAAGCTAAGGGACAGGTGAACTCCAGGAGAAGGCGGAGGACTGCTGTGAGCCCCACAACACCAGTCCCAGGTGGCACAAACACTTGGACTCAAAGGAGCACTCCACCACACCACAAAAAGGAGAGAGAGAACTACATAACCAGACATTCTGAAAAGAGAGATCATGGGGAGACAAAGAAACAGCACACATATGAAAGAAAAGCAGGCATCACCAGAAAAGGAAGTAAAGAAGTTATTGGCAAGCAACCTACCAAAGCAAGAATTCAGAGTAATGATCATAAATGACTAAAAAGAATGGAAGACAAATTTGACAATATGAATAAGAACCAAGAGGAAACAAAGAAGAACCAAGAAGAAATGAAAAATGACACCGCTATTGTAAAAAATCAAGAGTAGACTATAAGAAGCAGAGGACTGCATCAGTAAGCTAGAAGACAGGATGGAAAAAAATACTCAATTAGAGCAGCTTCTGGGGAAAAAAAATTAAAAAGCAGGAGGAGAGCCTAAAGGAACTTTGGGACAATACAAAACAAAATAATATTCACATAATAGGGGTTCCAGAAGGAAAAGAAGCTGAGGAAGGCATGGAAAACCTTTCAAGAAATAATGACAGAAAACTTTCCTGAGATAGAGAAGAAAAAACCCACACAAATCCAAGAAGCTCGAAGAATCCCAAGCAAAATGAATCCCAAAAGACTGATACCAAGGCACATTATAATTATAATTAAAGTGGCAAACACCAACGACAAAGTAAGAATCTTAAAAGAAGCCAGAGAGAGACAGAAAGTTACATATAAAGGAACCCCCATCAGACTAGTAACTGATTTCTCCACATAATTCATCAGGCCAGAAGGGAATGGAATGAAATATACAAGGTCATGCAAAGGAAAGGTATGAATCCAAGAATACTGTACCCAGCAAGGCTATCAATCAAAATTGAAGGTGAAATCAGGAGCTTCACAGACAAAAAAAAGACTAAGGAAATTTATTACTACCAAACCAGCAATGCAAGAAATGCTAAAGGGTATGCTATTAAAAATATATATATATATGAACCAAAGAAGGAACACAGAGGTATAGAATAAAAATGGCAACAAATAAGTACCTATCAGTAATAACTTTAAATGTAAATGGATTAAATGCCCCAATCAAAAGACATAGGATAATGGATTGAATAAGAAAACAAGATCCATATATCTGCTGTCTACAAGAAACCCACTTCAGAAAAAAAGATGCACACAGACTGAGGGTGAAGGGATGGAAAAAGGTTTTCCAGGCGAATGGAAATGAAAAAGAGCTGGGGTAGCAATACTTATATCTGACAAATTAGATCTCAAAGTGAAGGACATAACAAGAGATAATGAAGGCACTTCATAATACTAAAGCAAGCAACCCAAGAAGAAGAAATAACCCTGGTAAACATATATGTACTCAATAAGGGAGCACCCAAATACATTAAAAAAAAAAAAACTACTGGAGGACATTAAGGGTGAAATTAATAGCAATACAATCATAGTATTTTTATTTCCCAATATCACCTTTGGGCAAATAATCTAAACAAAAAATCAGCAAAGAAATATCAATCCTAAATGACTCACTAAATCAGATCAACATCTTCAGAACATTCTACTCCAAAGCCACAGAATATACATTCTTCTCAAGTGCACATGGGTCATTTTCAAAGATAGACCACATGTTGGGACATAGGCAAAGTCTCTTCAAATTCAAGAAGATAGAAATCATATCAAGCATCTTCTCAGATCATAGTGGCATAAAACTGGAAGTTAACTACAATAAAAATAATCTGAAGAAATCAAACACATGGAGACTAAACAGCATGATATTGATCAAGGACTGGGTTACCAGAGAAACCAAGGAAGAAATTAAAAACATCCTGGCAACAAATGACAATGAAAACACAACAATCCAAAATCTATGGGACACAGCAAAAGCAGTTTTGAGAGGGAAGTTTATATCTCTACAAGCCTATTGCAAAAAACAAGAAAAAATGGTAATAAATTATCTAACTCTACAACTCAAAGAGTTAGAAAAAGAGCAACAAGAAAAGCCCAGTGTAAGCAGAAGGAGGGAAATAATAAAAATCAGAGTGGAAATAAATGACATAGAGACCAAAGAAACAATACAAAAGATCAACAAAACCAAGAGCTGGTTCTTTGAAAGGATAAACAAGATTGATGAACCTCTAGCCAGGCTCACCAAAAAGCAAAAAGAGAGGGCCCAAATAAACAAAATCAGAAACGAAAGAGGTGAAATAACAACAGGCCCCACAGAAATACAAAGGATTGTTACAAAATACTATGAACAACTCTATTCCAACAAACTGGATAACCTGGAGGAAATGGACATATTTCTAGAAAAATATAACCTTCCAAAACTCAATCAGGAAAAATCTGAAAATCTCAATAGACCAGTTACTTGGGAAGAAATTGAAGCAGTCATCAAAAAACTTCCAGCAAACAAAAGTCCTGGGCCACATGGCTTCACAGGGGAGTTTTACCAAACATTCAAGTAAGAACTAAAACCTAGCCTCCTCAGACTATTCAAAAAAATTCAAGAGGAAGGAACACTTCCAAGCTCCTTCTATGAAGCCAGCATCACCCTAATACCAAAACCAGATAAAGACAACACAATGAAAGAGAATTACAGGCCAATATCCCTCATGAACATAGATGCCAAAATCCTCAACAAAATTCTAGCAAATTGGCTCCAGCAGTAAGATCAGGAAGATCATATACCATGACCAAGTAGGATTTATTCCGGAAATGCAATGATGGTACAATATCCGCAAATCAGTAAATGTGATACATCACATAAACAAATTGAGTGATAAAAATCATATAGTTATATCAATTGATGCAGAAAAAGCATTTGATAAAAATCTAACACCCTTTCCTGATTAAAACTCTCAATAAGGTGAGAGTACAAGGATCATAACTCAACATAATAAAAGCTATATATGATAAACCCATAGCCAACATCATACTCAATGGGCAAAAACTAAAACCATTTCCTCTAAGAACAGGAACAAGATAGGGATGCCGACTCTCACCACTCCAGTTCAACATAGGGCTGGGGCTGGAAGTACTAGCAATTGCAATTAGACAAGAAGAAGAAATAAAAGGGATCCAAATTGGAAAAGAAGAAGTAAAATTGTCCTTATTTGCAGATGACATGATATTGTACCTAAAAAAACCAAAAGGCTCCATCAAAAAACTAATAGATAAATTAATTTGGCAATGTAGCAGGATACAAAAATCAATGCCAAGAAATCTCTGGCATTTCTATACACCAATAGTGAACTTAAAAAAAAAACATAGACTAAAAAAGCAATCTCATTTACCATCGCACACACAAAAAAAATTAAGATACCTAGGAATAAACTTAACTAAAGAGGCAAAAAACCTATACATGGAAAACTACACGACACTGAAAAAAGAGATAGAGGAAGATGTAAACAGATGTTCATGGATTGGTAGAATCAGCATCATTAAAATGCCCATACTATCCAAAGCAATCTATAGATTTAATGCACTTCCCATTAAAATATCAACAGCACATTTCACAGACCTAGAAAGAACTCTCCAAAAATTCATCTGCAACAATAAAAGACCCTGAATAGCCACAGCAATCCTGAGAAAGAAGAATAAAGTAGAAGGGATCTCAATACCAGATTTCAAGCTGTATTACAAAGCCACTGTTCTCAAAACCTCTTGATATTGGCACAAAAAAGACAT